AGAAATAGGCGATTTTCATATATAATATATTAGAATCCACCTTTCAGATTGGAAGATATGCTTGTTTCTATACGGCCAGTTAATAATTCATCCGTATCCTCATCTAACTCGTGAAGGTCCCACTTCTTCATGAATTTGATTGTTATGCATCATACATCAATTTTATGATTGGTTGAATAAATTTAATATGTACTTTTCTTTCTTATGCTCTTTTCTCCCAAAATGTTGATGAGAGCCTTGTTCTCTGCAATAGGTTAATATTCGTTTTCTTTGTTTCTTCCTTCTTTCCTTTGTTGGCTCAGTTTTCTTCCATTTATTACCCAATTTATTTTACTTTGCATGACTGATATACCACATGCTGGTTGGTGCTTCAATGTGATTTGCCATCCTTTCAAGCATATGTGTATAGTTCAGATGGTCGATGGTTTCCTACTACATACTGCATATTATTGAGGCATCAACTAGGTGATACATCTCGTCTATTCTTGCTTTATTCTGATTATCAATGGTTGTTTAGTCTAATTTTTTGGCTTGCTATATGGTTGATGTCCACATATCACATGGGGATTAACCTGAAAGGTCAGGACTTTGTACTAGCTAAGAATGGAACCTCTCTAAGCTATTCTTTCTGTCTACTGTCTTGCCATTTCTTGTAGCAGCTATATCCTAATGTGAACTGTGTTTAGCAATAATTATCAACCATCTAGCTTTTTCCGGATGAAAAAGGGTAAAATAGAAAAAAAAAAGGAAAAAGAAATAGCGGTATGCTTGTTTTGAAATCCTCCTTGACAATCTTTGCTCCCTCCCCGACAAATTGCAATTCTTTGCTTTTGTTATGACATTACTGAATTCTCTGAAAATAGAAAACTTGAATCGTCACTTAAATTACGGGTGTTGAAACAACCATAGTTTGTACCAAGGAGCTCATGGCACTGAAAATCATCTTGAAAATGCATCATGTCTTAGCATGTTTCTATAGTATATATAAATATATGTGTGTATACGCATTTTTGAGGGTGCTATGTCCCCAGTGATTTTTTTTCTGAGAAAGTTTGTTCTGCTACCTGAGCCAGCCAGCCTTTAACTATTTCTTTTATTGGAGTGATATTTTACGCCAATCTATCTGACATAGTTACATTAAAGATGTTATTATTCCCGTCAGAAATAAATATTTCTTGTTACCTGATTTACTATGCATTACAGTTTGGTGCTAAGTGCGTCAATTTGTTGCATCATAGTATTGTCAACTTGGCGTTATCTAGAAATCTCTTCTGGCCATCTCCATGTGTATATATGTTTTTTCAGCAGTAGTCTTGTCTAGAAGTCACCTCTTATGGCCATCTCCATGCATCCTCTGGAAGTGAGCCAAGAACCTTCCATGAGGGAAGGAAACTAACTAGATGTAGTTATGTTGTTCATTTCGTATACATGTTTCCTGTTGTTCTGTTCATAGCATTAAGAAAAGATGATATTAGCTTTACCAGAGGACGAGATAAAGATGTTGATTTTTTACTATATTTTATATACTATTTTGTTTTATCTTCTATCTCCAAAGAGATAATCTAATGCATCAGCACCACAGGACTATTACGCGTGCACCTCGCACACTGTTATGCTAGATAGATCAGTTTCTCGTGTTGCCATATTGATATCCCTGAGGTAGATACCACATCACTTACATCCATGCTTTTGTTGTTTAACACACAGTAGACTATTACACATGCACCTCTCATACTGTTATGTTAGATTTATATGCCATGTTTCCATATCCTGATATCCCTGAGGTAGATGCTATGATTGTTTAACAGACACTGGACCATTAGACATTCACCACTCATACTGTTATGATGACATTTTTATATCCCATAGTTCCGTATCTCGATATCCCTGATGTGGATGCCACATTACCTATATCCATGCTTACGCACTTGTACTCTGTTCAACTTATTAGATAGATCATGCCTGCATGTACATGTCTTTCGTATAGCTCATATCTCAGTTTCCATTTATTGTGCGTTGGTAGGTTTCTACAAACCCATGCATCATCATCATCATCATGATTCTTTGCATGCATATTTTCCCTCGTTTTCCACACTTGTGGGCTATTTTCTGACAGACCTGGATTTGTCAACCAAATCTGTGTCGTCTTCTTTCAGGATTTAATTCATGTGGTTATATTAACAGTGTTAGAGAGATCATATGCACCCTAGTCCTTTATTTTGTAGCTAGTATTTGTTCTTCTTTCAGACAGACAATTGTATATTTTATTGCAACTGAGATCGTGGGCTAGATGTGGCCTTAGAAACTTACCATTTTATACAAACTTCAGATTAGTTTTCGTATTCATTCAGTATTCAGATACATCATATTTGTATTTGTTGGGTATTCGAAACAATCAATCAAACCCTTGCCCTTCCGGACCTTGTGTTTGAGAGTTGAGCAAGAAAGAAATTCACCACAAATCAAAGATAAAAACTTGTAGGAAAGTAAACAAGAAAGAACACACCAGATTTAACGAGGTTCGGCAACGTGCCTACGTTCTCGGGAGCCACACCATATAATTCTTTGATTACTTGAAGAAGATTACAATGCTTGCAATTGACCTCTCTCTCTCTAAAATTTCTAACCTCAAAGAGCCCTCAAAACCCTTTTTTTTCGTGCTCCTTTTCTCTCTTAAACCCTAAAGGGACGCATTTCTATTTATAACAAAACATAGTTCCAAACAGATTAGAATTCTAAAACGAGTCTACCACACCCTGGTGAGGCGCAGACCACATCCATGGCAGACATGGCAGACTCTGCCACACCCTGGTGTGGTGCAGACCACACCCATGGCAGACAGGGCAGATTCTGTCACACCCTGGTGTGGTGCAGACTACACTCATGGTCTGTCTTGAATTTTCATGCGATTGTTGATTTTGATTCTAGGTTTGGGTCTCCACTTTCAAGACCAACAATCTCCCACTTGGAGATCAAACCACCATCAATGAGCTCTCCCGAACTCCGCCTTCTCGCAAGCATCTTCTCCTACTTGAAAAATTCATTCTTCAATCATTAACATCCCGGCGATCTCGCCGATCCTCGCAGTGTGGCTCCGCCTTCGTCTTCTACTCGTGAAGGCCAACTGAAGTTGCGCACAACTCCAGTTTCTCAATGGTGTCTGCCTTCGTCAACATGTCCGCTGAATTTTGATTCCCCAAAATCTTTATCAAATGTAACTTTCTGTCTTCAACTAGCGAGCGTATAAAATGGTATTTGACGTCGATATGCTTCGTTCTGGCATGATATACTGGATTCTTAGCAAGATGTATAGTGCTCTGGCTATCACAATAAATAACTCCTCTCCCTTGCTTCAGATCCAACTCTTCCAAGTACCCGTTCAACTAGATCATCTCCTTGCTTGCTTCAGTCACCGCAACATACTCAACCTCGGTTATAGACAAAGTCATAATCTTCTACAGACGTGAGACCCAGCTCACTGCTGTCGACGCTAATGTATAAATATACCCCTTGGTGTTTCGTCTCGTATCATGATCACCGGCGAAGTCCGCATCCACGTATCCCTGCAGCATCAACTCCTTCCTCCTGAAACATAATGGCTTGTTCGTTGTCCCTCTCAAGTACCGCATTATCCACTTCACATAATGGCTTGTTCGTTGTCCCTCTCAAGTACCGCATTATCCACTTCACGGCCTCCCAATATTGCTTCCCTGGATTGCTTACAAATTTGCTCACAACTCCCACTGCATGGGCGATGTCCGGCGTCGTGCAAACCATCGCGTACATGAGACTCCCAATGGCCGAAGAATATGGCACCCTGCTCATATGCTCTCTCCCAATGGCCGAAGAATATGGCACCCTGCTCATATGCTCTCTATCTGTATCTGTCTTAGGCGATTGCTTCTCAGATAGCTTGAACTGACTTCCAAGGGGTGTGCTAACAACTTTAGCATTATGTATGTTGAACCTCTGAAGTACCTTCTCAATGTATTCGGCTTGGCTCAATCTTAATATCCCTTCAGCTTCATCCCTACTGATTCGCATCCCTAGAATCTGC